TATGCTAGGTTCATTATTTGGAAAGCAGTTAATGAAAATAATGAACTGCACTATATTAACCTCAGCTTTTTAAATTTTAAATAGTCAATATTCTTGATTAGCTGGACAATTCAGTAGGCAAAACTAAATGTGTCCACCTTCATTGATGTGGTGTCCACCTTCATTGTTGTGATGTTTATCACATTTGGTTATGTTCCCCATGTGGGCAATATACAAATTTGTTTCCATTAGGACCAACAAAAGGACTTGTGCCATACAAAATACCTGCCCTATGAAAAGAACAGATGCATTATACAAACACTACTAATTTACAAATGAATTTAAGTGTTGTTTTATATATTGTATTTGACATGTTTTACAGAACCATACTAAACCCTTCCCAAATAAGCTGCAGCAAATTATTCTAGGGTAATAGGACTGCCAGGTTGTATCTTGCTGCCAGCGGGGGGCTTTGTTGGGGCATTCCAGGAGGGAGAGGGGATGTCCCTGATGTGATGACATTATGCATAAGTGATATCATCACGTTGGGAACACAGCCCCTTGGAAGGTACTGGCAGTGCCCACCTGCAAAAACTAGTGAATTTGCTGCTTGGAATTCAGGTGCAGGTGGCCCCCACTTGCTAAAAACCATTTAAAGGGAACCTTCCGTTTAAATGGTTTTTTGTGAGCTGGGGCTGCCCACGCCTAAACTCCAAATGGCAAATTTGCCACTTGGAGTTCAGGTGTATGCTGGCGGCCACCCCTCCCCCCTGCAAGATTTAAAGGGCTCTCCAGCTGATCACCAGTCCACATGCTCCTGCCAATCAGCTGGAGGTCCCTTTAAATCTTGCAGGCAAGGAGGGTGTGAGGTGGCCACTGGTGGCTGCTGTTTGTAAACAGGGCTTCCCTGCTGGCTGGCAGGGGAAAGGAGCTCATGAAATTTGGGAATCCCGCACCCCCACCTGGGGACTGGCAAGCCTACAGAGTAAACATTATCAGGATGCAGGTTTATGGGAAATGGTTCTGCTTTCTAAAGCTGGAAAAGTACCAGGGTCTACCACTCTGCACTCAGATACCTAGAAAATCAGATCAGAGGATTTTAAACATGTAGACCTGTCTTACAAATGGTAGAATAATGAAGCAGCAGGGTGCTAAAGCGACAAAATGGACTGTACCACTTCATGCTGCAGGTAGGCAATCTCACATTATCTATGCTCCCCTACAGCTGTTTTGGCGCTTGAAAAGGCATGGGGGGGGGGGAACGACAAGAACAGCTCATCCCATTGTGGGGTGGCTTGATTGGGCCCTCACAGAATTTTAAAATCTCCCATTTTAGGCTTTAAAATGGTGGTAGCAGCCCCATCCCAGAAACAAGGAAGCTGTCACAGCTAGTTTGGCCTTTTGATCACCATTATAAGGCAGAACTTGTGTTATGCAAGTTAGTGCAATTGGGGGGGAGGCTTTCTTTCTATTCAGCCTAGCTTGAAAAACAGCCCCTTACCTTGAGAAGGCTGATCTGGCCACCCCAATCCATGCCATGGTAATGTTGAGACTAGACTACTGTAGTGCACTGTACATTGGTTTCCTCTCAAAATCAATTCAGATGCAGAATGCCACAGCTCAGCTATTATCACGAGCTAGAAGTATGCATATTACTCCCATTCTAGTCACCCCAATGGCTGCCCATGAGTTTCTGGGCTCAATTTAAAGTATTGACTGTCATACATAAAGCCCTTCATGGCCTTGGGCCCTCATATCTGCCAGACCATCTCTCCCCCTGTGCTCCCTCAGGACAGCTTTGCTCACCCAGGCACAGCCTTCTGCAGGCGCCATGGGCAAAATCAACATCTGCTCATACACATGCCTTCTCTGTTGTGGCCCCTGCCTTGTGGAATGGCCTGCGTGAGAAGGTCAGGAAGGGCTCCCACTCTCCTGTCTTTCTGCCAACTATACAAAACTGAAATATTCAAAAGGGTTTTTCTACGCAGGCAACAGGGTAAGGTAAAGGTTCCCTTGCTCGACAGCCAGTCGAATCCGACTCTAGGGTTGCGGTGCTCATCTCCGTTTCAAAGTCGAAGAGCCAGCGCTGTCCGAAGACATTTCCGTGGTCATGTGGCCGGCATGACTAAACACCAAGGCGCACAGATCGCTGTTACCTTCCCACCGAAGTGGTACCTATTTATCTACTTGCAATTTCTTGCTTTCAAACTGCTAGGTTGGCAGGAGCTGGAACTAGAGACGGGAGCTCACTCCGTCATGCGGCAACTCGGGTCTCGAACTGCCGAACTACCGACCTTCCACAGCCTGCAGTTCAGCATCTTAACCACTTGAGCCACCGCAGCTCCACAAAATGCTTCACAACATTACTGGGATAAATTATTAGGGATTGTAGTCTATACTTCTATGTACAGTTGGCTGTAAATTGGATCATGTTCTGTAATTTTGCATCATTTAATGTGTTATCTTTGTTAGAGAAGCAACAGCCTGCGAAGAGTCTACTTACTGTGAATGCTGCTGAAAGAGTAGTTTAGTCCACGTGTACCCTAGGGGGAGCTGTGGTGCATTCTCTAAAGTTTAGGATGTATTGAATTTTTCTCTTGTAGTTCAGCCTACCTCTCGTTCTCTCTCTCTTCTCTGTGTTAGTATCTGCTAGTGCCTGTGCTCTGAAGGCCTCTCTGTTGCATTAATAGCCTGCAGTCAGTTATTGTCTTTCTGCAAAATCCTGTCGCAGTAAATTCAGTGAAACTGAACTCCAAAGCATGGATTGGATTATTTCCTGAACCCTGCCAACATCCTTAACACTTACGTGTTGCCTCAGTTCTGTTTTCTAGGCCTAGTTGGTTCTACAACCGAAAGCCTATTGCATTGTTTACTGAATGTCTCATCTTGTTTACACTTTGTGTAATCTGCCTTCAGTCCCAGTAACAAAGGCGGACTATAAATAATGTAAATAAAATAAATGTTCAGCTTTTCCATTGGTTCTTAGTCTGATCTGTAGAGATATATGATATAGGTCTTAAAAACAAAGTATTCCTTACAGGGAGGGGAAAATGTCAAACTTGGCCATAGTTATACTACTCTGGAAAAGAGATACAAGATTTCCAGAAAAGTTGACATTTCCAGAAAAAAAGACATTTCCCCCAGAAAAACAATTCTGGAGAAAAATTGAAATAAGCATTACATTTCTATCAAATATAAACCTGTTTTGCTGCAATAACAACAAAAACACATTGTTTATAAATTAGCATATAAAATTATATCAATTTGTTTACTTCTGAAATTTAAGAGTATAAATGCCTTTGTTTTCTACAAACAAAACTGCAAATACACCCAATACTAAATTAGAGAAAACAGAAAACTGCTGTAACCTTTGCTGTTGTAGAACATTTCACTCATTCCAATGTATAATAGTTCCTTCCAGCGCTTTCTAAAAGTTCCCCATATTTCTACTGGGAAAAAATTGGGAAAGACCTTGGGAAAAAAGATGGTTTTCTTCCAGGCTTTCACATTTCTAGGCCCAAAGCAAAAAGTTAACCATGTAGAGGATCCATGCTAGTCCTGCCCCTATCAATCAAGAACACGCAAGGTATTACCAGCACAAGTAGCTCTCTTGATGGAATGAGATGGACTGTAAGCACATCTGATCCTCAAAATGTGCTTGAGCAAATATATTCTTCCCCAGGACACTAAGAGCTAAAACAGATGTGTGACTACAAACTGAATTCATTATTAAGAACTCTGAAACCCAAAGCAATCATTAAAATCCAAAATGTGTTAATAATTGATATTTTACTGATTCCAAAATGCTATAGTAGAGATCCCCAGGCTTTTTGAGCCTGAAGGCGCCTTTGGAATTCTGGGAGGGAGGGGACCCACACCAACCCAAGATGGCCAGCACTGGAGGCTGAGCCAAACATGATACCTTCCTTCTTGCTTTGCAAAAGAATTACAGAAGGAGAATTTTAAAAAATAAATGAAACCCACCCACCCCAGAAAGCAGAGAGATACAAAGAAGGCCTGAAGGTGAATGGAACCAGAAGCCTGGGTGCAGCCCTAGAAGGCCAATAACTGCCCTGCCTTACAATGGCCCCCACCCACTTTCAGAAAAGCTGGGTGGGCATCAGGGGAAGTACTGGCAGGTGCCATGGCCCCCATGGAAATCACAATGGAGAATCCCATACTCTAGTCTTCCTCTGGCCAAGACAAAAAATGCTTCTAATAGGGGTGTCCTATGTTGCCAGCCTAACATTCCTACCTCCCTTTCCAAGAAAGGTGCAAATGCATGCAACATCACCATCCTACCAACAAGATACCCAGCCTATCCGCTGCTTTTGAATTGTTATCTTAATTTGTATTAATGGTGCTTGTTTTATGGAAAGCATATTTACTGAATTATAGCTCTGAACCACTTTGGAAAGGTAAATTACAAAAGGAGCCGGAATCAGTCCTTAATCTCAGCATCTGGGATGAAACACTACTGGTGTTAATTGTAGAGCTGGAAGGCCCTGCTGGGCTCAATCAGTTATCAATCTCCTGACAAGTTTTTAAAGTAAAAAAAAGTAGTTTTTGCAATATGTACACTTTGCCCCACCCAAGCTGTTATTAGTTTCGGGAGGAACACAAAGGGCTGGCTGTCATTTCCCCACAACTAGGGCTAATAATATTGGGCGATTCTGCTTCTAGCATTCTCCACATTTTCTCAACTGGGAGGAAAAAGTGCAGCTCAAAAACCACATTCAGATACCAGGGGACAATACCCTACTGACTGCAAAGTCACCCCTGAACGGCCATAAATCTATGCAGAAGGTACCATAAATACCCGATGATCAAACGAAGCGAAAGCTACATAGTCTAGAGGACACCATAAAATCCGATGATCAAGGAAAGAGAGAGGAGCATGCAATGCAGAGAATACAGAATCGCCCACAGAGTTAGGAGAGGGTCGGCTTCTACCGAGAAAATGTAGCCGGTAAAAGAGTTAACCCCACCCGCCATCGGAGAGTACAGCAACCACTCTTTCACCTTGACAAATATAGACCGCGTCTCCCACTTCTAGACCCCGTTTGAAAACCAGTGATGCCTCCCATTTACCTTGAGGTGCTCGTAGTAGCTGCCGGTGCCTACTATCTGAACAGAGTTAGAGCTTAAGTACAGCCTCTTTCTGATGGCTTCCACCAAAAGGTCTCTAACTGAATTAACCCGCCGGGAGGCATCCGAAATCTCTACTCTGCGCAAGGTGAGCCTTTCCAGCACTTGTCTCAAGGAGATGCCCTGTGGAGGGGGCGGCCCTCTGGGCACAGCTTCGGCCCTTCCTTGCTCCGGCGGCTCCTTTGCTGGGGGAGGGCGCGCCTTCTGGGACGCTTTTTTCCCTCGATGGGGAGCTTCTTTTTTCTCCCCATCAGGGAGACGGTTCTTCTCCCGGGAAACAGCTCCCGAGGCAACGTCTGCCTTCTCCGGTTCAAACGCCTTCGCCTGGAGGTGACGCTCCCGCTTCTGCAAAGCGCCTTCGTCCCCTGGGGGATTATCACTTTTTCCTGCCGGGCGGTCACATTTCTCGGCGCCGGGGGTGCTGTTCTCCAGGGACGTTTTCCTTCCCCTAGGGGCACTTTCTTTCCCGCTGTGGCCGGATCCTTTCCCTTGGTTCACGAGCGATGTCTTGGCTTTGCCAGGGCAGTCGGAAGAAGGTTCCTGCCCTCTTCCTCTCCCCTTGGAGGCTGCAGCGGGCTTGGCGGCGTCATCCTCCGGCGCTGGCTGGACAGCAGCGATAGCTTTTCTCGCTCCTTGTCCTTTTTCGGCTGGCTTCCGATCCATAGAAGTACACTTTGCCGCTGAAAATTATGACCAGGCTAGCCCTATCTGTTCACATCCCAGGACTTGGATGGGAGGCCGCCAAGAAAGTCCAGTGTCGGTCTGAGATAGATACATACATCACACCACCTGAGGACGTTTGGCGCCTTGAGACCCCTACGAGAGGGCCAGAACTCGGCTGGGACTTACCAGCAGCAGTCTAAACTCTTCTGATGATAGCTAGCCAAACCGGTTCTCCGTCGCTTCCTGTCTCATCTGTGCGCGCTTAACTCCACGACCGGGCTCTTTCTCGTGGAGAAACGAAACCAATTCATGACGAGGAGGTTTCCGAGAAGCCCTCCCACACCCACTGTCTTCTTCCTCAAACACAGATTTAAGCTTGGCTACTTGACCCAGCTCATTATTGTCATGACAGATTTGCGCGGGAAATTAGAAAACAGTAGCGGTGTTACTCTATAGCAGCCAAAGAGTCTTATCACCTTTTCAAGATCAACAGAGGTATTATAGCATCACCTTTAATGAGCTCGCGTTGTCAGATAGAGTTGTCAGGGCCAAGAGAAAAATGTCCTGTCTCCTTAGCAGAGGTTTACCTATGGGAAATGAGCAGCTGAAGTCCACCCCCTTCTGTTAAAAAGGCAGGACGTCATAAGCTATGTAATGATCAGGCAGTTTGTTGGTTTATTATATTATGTATGTTTTTAGTTGTTGTTAAAAGTGAAGAACAAATTGTAAAACTGAAAGAATCATTGTTATATTGTTTATATAAAATAAAAAATAAAAAATTGTTAAAAAAAAAGAAGAGGCAGGACGTCCATTTTCCCCCCCCTCCAGACTGTCGGGAACCCTGTCTGTGGCAGTGTCTCAATTGATCAAATTCCAGTATGTCTGTCAGACTAGTCAAGTCAAGTAATTTATTGTATTTAGCCATTGGCCATTACAAAATACAGCAGAGCATTCATAAAACATTAAAATACAACCTTAGTGACCGGGTTAAAATTAACTACTAGTCTGTGATAAAAGAAGAATAAAACAGGTTTGATCACCATCAAGTCGCCTGCCCCTTAGATCTAGTCTTGGATGCTGCTACAGCAAACAGGGAAACTCTATGGGATAGATAAGCATCTTTATCTGACAGCAGGAACACAATCTTCTCGGTTTCTGGGAGTGCTTGCATACCTAATAGAATTCCTACTAAAAATTTCTCTCTTGGAGTGCTGTAAAGCCGACAATAGAGCATGTAGTAAGGAATGTCCTCCACCTCTGGCAAAACACAAATGCAGAGACATTGCTCTTTTGGAGTATGCAAATAATGGCCAGCCAAAAGGGCTGTTTTCATAGTTTGGAATCGCAAAGCTGTAAAGGACACTCTGAGGTTATAGTTAGAGATATTAACTAGGTAACTCGACCTGCGGTGGTCAAATTTGCAATATTTATACCAGGGAGCCACTTTAGAGAACGATTGATCATTGCATCAGCCTCCTATATGCAGTCCCTAAGATGTGAATTCTCAGCTGAGAGCCTGAGAAGGCCGTCTGGAATAGTATATCTTTGAATGATAGTATTAAGAACGTTAGAACGGCTAGGGTCTTTACCAAAATGGAAGTTGTCTGATTGATGGCTTATATAGCCTTATAGGATTGGAGCTCGGAGGTGTGTTCTTTTTCCAGTATTTTATAACCGCCAGGTGTGCCTGGGCCTTCACAGAGGGAAGTCCCAGTTCAGCTCTCATTACAGATGTGGGAGTACCTCTGGGCAAAGCTAGAATTCGCCTCATAAATTGATTTTGGATTACCTCCAAATTAGCCAAAATATCCGCCTTCCAGCCCCAAACTTCAATTCCATATAAGAGATGGGAGATGACCTTGCTGTTGAATAATTTCAATGCTGGGTCAATCAGACGGCCGCCCTTCGTGTGAAAAAAATGTACAATTGATCCTACCATTCTTAATGCTGAGGCTTTTACTGATGCAAGATGGTTTTTCCAATTCAGAGTCTCCGTGAAGGTTACTCAGAGATATTTAAATGTTCTGCATTGTTCGATCGGGTTGCCAAGTCATCAGCAGGTCCGTTATTCTCCTGCTTAAATCTAAAGAGTACACACCTATCTGTCACCCTGCTTCACCTCTTGTACCTCTGCAATTGCAGGGAACAGCCTATTGGTAATAGGGGAAGGCAGGGAATAATTACCAAATACCTGGAGGGGGGAAATGTCCTGTAATAGAGGTTTCATGCATGGGATGTTATTCACCAAGTACTATTATTTCTCTCCATGCCATTAAAAGCTCCAGCTACCCATTTCCATATGTTAAGCCTTTTTGCAAAGCCTATGGGGACCACAGCAGGCAGTAAAAGCTTAAGAAGAAATGGAAATAAAAGCTCCTGTGGCACCTTCTTGTTAGCAGCAATCACAAATGCCAAAATCCTAATTGTTCTGTTAATGGAGGAAACTTGCCAGAACACTCTACTGTGGTTGGAGTGTTGGGAAAAAAACAGTTGTATTCTCATAAACAAAAGGGAAAAAATACTTGTCTGAGTAAAGATGTCTGGGAAAAGAAACCTAGCATGTCTTTCAGTTGGCCTGCACTTGATTCTAACGTTTGGTAACTTTGTGCTTAAAAAAACAGGATTATCCGTCCCCTTCTCTGGAAGGCCCAATGATAAATGAAAATTCAAACAAAATAGAACCTTACGAAAAGGGGGGTGAGGATGGCGAGTGGCCCGGGTCACGTATACCCGGGCCTCTCCCTCCGGCCACCCCGCTGCCCAGCGATTGGCCCGGAGAGGGAGGGGAGGCGCCTACCTTCCCGCCACTTGCCTGGTCCCACCCCCTCCCGGCCTGGTGCCTGGCCAGCCTCCTCCTCCCCCGCCTGGCCCCGCAAATGGCGGGCCTCGCCTACCCAGACCCTTTTGTTTTTCTAACGTTTGGTAACTTTGTGCTTAAAAAAACAGGATTATCCATCCCCTTCTCTGGAAGGCCCAATGATAAATGGAAATTCAAACAAAATAGAACCTTTACATTAAGAAGCAGTAATCCTCTGAATAAAAGTGCTATGGAGGTGGCAATATAAAGAAAAGGCATTAGAATCATGGAGTTGGAAGAAACTTCCAGGATCATCTAGTCCAACCTCCTGCACAATGCAGGAAATTCACAAATATCTCCCCCTCTACACCCACAGTGACCACTATTCCACATCCAGAAGATGGGGGGAGGGACCCAACCTCCAGGATCCAAGGCCAAACTGACCTGGAAGGGGGGAGAGAAACTTGGCATACTTGACCTTGGACATCCTTTCAGCTCCTTGATAGAATCCCTGTGTTGCAGATGTGAATCATAGAATCATAGAGTTGGAAGGGATCTCCAGGGTCATCTAGCCCAACCCCCTGTACAAGGCAGGAAATTCACAAATACCTCCCCCTTCATACCTGCAGTGACTGCTGTTCCACACCCAGAAGATGACAAAAAAACCTCCAGGATCCCTGGCCAAACTGGCCTGGAGAAAAATTGCTTCCTGACTCGAAAGTGGCAATCAGCATTTCCCTGGACGTGTAAGAAAGGGCCACAAAAACTAAGAACTGAGGCAGCCCTTCCTGCCCTCCCTCTCATGAGCTGCCTAAGTTCACAAAATCTGCCTCTGTTTGAAAACCTCCAAAGAAGGAGAGCCCACCACCTCCCGAGGAAGTCTGTTCCACTGAGGAACCACTCTGTCAGGAAGTTCTTCCTAATGTTTAGCCGAAAACCTTTCTGATTTAATTTCAACCCATTGGTACTAGTCTGACCTTCTGGGGCAACAGAAAACAACTCCATACCATCCAGTCAGAAACCATCATGCAGTGGTCATAGAGGAAGCTGCTCAGCAACTTTTCAGGCAAGGGGAAGTTTTTGAACCTGGGTCTTTCCTGTTTACAGATCTTCTTCATGGTCTCTGTGCATTACACCTATGGGATTATGCACCTGTGTTGATCTGTGTTGATCTGAATCGGTGATATACAAAGCTCACAACGGGATATACAAAGCTCACCACCTCGCTCCCTCCTGATACAAGAGTTTACCTAGAGGACCTACCTTTTGATGGCCAAGGGCTCTTCCGTGCTTCCACAGATTCGGCCCTGCAGGAAATGGATAAAAGCATTAAGGCATCTAGGTCATTAGGAGTCTCTGGTCCCCCTAAGCCTTTTTTACCTCGTTCTTGGTCCTGAAACAGTTTTCAATGTCCATTTAATAAACCACCACAAGACGAAGGCTATAAACCATGGCAGTCTCCATCTGGAAGCAGATGGAGACTGCGAACATCTTCGGGAGGCCACCGCAGCTCCATGTATAACCTGTACTAATAGGTTAAAAGATCTATTATTTTAGCTTCTCAGATTGTGATCAGTACTAGTCTTTACCCTATCCCCACTGCGCATGCCCAAGGAGGCGGGGCCAGTTCTCTTCTGATCGCCGCGCTGTTAACAGTTTGTTTTCTGCCAGTCGGTGAGAAAGTACTTGTCTCTCTTTGAGGGATTGCTCACTGTGTTCATTAGTTTTCGTGGTTTTTGTCTTTTGTTTTCCTTCTTCTGCTAAAAAAAAAAGACTTTTTGTTTGAGGGTCACCGCTGCCTCTGGTGGTTCCCCCCCCCCCCCGAGGTAAATTTTAATTTGCCTCATCTGAGGGCTTCTGTTCTGTTTCCTTTTTTGTGCCATCTTTTTGTTTTATGCCCAAAAAGTGGGGGTGTTTCAGAAGTTGTGGCGGGTGTGGCAGCAAACTTTGTATTATTTGCCTGGGGGAGGCTCATTGCCCAGAGACTTTCCGTCACTGCGCCAAATTTTCCAATCTGACCCGCAAAAACTGGGCCACAAGGCTCCCTTGTCTGTCAACAATATGTCTACAGAGCCCCCTTCAGATGTCCACCGGACAGACCCTGCATCGATATCGGAGTCGTCGATGTCGATCCCTCCTCGTCCTAAGGCGACATTGGATGTGGGTACGTCTTTAAAATATCTGGCACCGACAGGGACTTCCTCAGCCTCAACCCCGGCTAAGAGGAACAAGAAGGAGAAGCACGACAAGAAGAAGTCTGCTTCGAAAAAGACCACGCATAAGTCTCACAGTATGAGCAGCGTTGGTAAGAAACCGGGCTCTGCTCAACCCCCTATCCAGCGGGCGGAACTCGAAATCGCCAA